GAAGAGAGGAAGAGTCTTGGAACTACACTACGGCCAAGACGGCGTTGCTCGGTCCGCTCACATCGCTACAAGCAGCGGTACTTATCGTAGGCCTGTTTCGAAATTGGCAGTTCTTGATGTCGAGGCGAATGCAGACGGTGGTGAAGCCTCCCCAACCGGGTCAGTTCACGGGGGTGGGGATGTCGATGATGGCAACCCAAGAAATGTTGCTGAACAAAAGTAGCGGAATTTATGTATGTCTTTGTAAGAGCGTATTCATGTATTTCAAAACAGTTGTTTTAGATAACTTAGGTACTTATGGTTGTAGAAGATATAAATGCGGGTGCCTCCGAAAATTTCTTTCTTCTTTACATTGTTCACGGAGCGAAACCAGTGTGAGTAGAAATTGTAATTTTTTAAGTCTAATTTGTATTTAATATGCTGCTAATTTACTAGAGAATAAACCACTCAACCAACTATGTAACTGACAGCTAATTGTAAACCTTCGTCAAGCAACTACATTATTTCAAATAAAAATAACTTACAAATATTGAAATTGGAGCTTAGTGACATTCATTTGCAGCCGTGCCATCTTCTAGTTGGTTCCAAGTTTATTCACATATCCGTGGTAAAGAACATCTTTATTCTACTGGCTGGCAATCTCGCAATTGCCGCCAAAATTAAACGTCACTGCTGATATTTCCCGCCATTTTCGTTACTATTGCGTTTTTTCGTCGTGTTTTATGTCACTAAGTCCAATTACAGCGAGAACTAGCAAAAGGAAAAATAAAGGTTTATTGCCCGTTCGATATCGTGATTTAGACAAAAAAATTCCGCTCTCCAGATCACCGAGCGACCAAACGCCAAAGGAACATTCGAGGTCATCCAGCCAGTCGCAAATGAGCTCATCTGCACAGCAACCTTTGACTTCGAATGCTCAGTCGCAGACCGCCAGTCTAGCTCACTCACAGAATGCCCTTTCACAGACACAGCAGATTGTTCAACCATCTTCTGCTCAACCACAACCAGATGTACCTGTCCAGCCGCAACAATCGAAAGTGAAAGAGCCGCCAATAAAGTCAAGTTCACAGAACAAACCACAAATTAATGTTGATGAGCTAAGCCGACAATTGAATAAGAGAATGGAGGACATGAAAAACGAGTTCCAGCGCCAAATGCAAGTCATGCAAACATTGTTGGTTTCTAATACGCAACAACTACGTGTAGAGATGGCACAGTCTAGATCCAATGCCTCGTCAGAGACTTCTTTGATTTCGAAGCCGGCACAACCGCCGTCATCGGATATGTTGCCGCGAGAGCCAACTGCACTTCAGTCAATGCCGCCGCAGTCGCAAGCCTCCCTGCCGCTTGCTCCGCCAATAGTACAGCCGTCACCGACACCTCTAGGTCCCACTCCATCTACGTTTTCAACCTCTCAGCTACCGCTCACCGCGCCGCAGTCAGCACCATCGTTTATGCAAGGTTCGCTACCAACGTCGCAGTCTGAATCGGCGCCACCGTATATGGCACAGACTCACGCACAGCCCCAGCGCGTACTACCACACTTCAAATATGAAAGCCAGAATAATATGGTACGTGCTAGGAAAATATTCCCACTACCTATATTTTCAGGTTCGCCGGAAGACTGGCAGACGTTTATAGAGGCATTCGAGAGCACAACCGCCGAATTTGATTATTCTAACCTACATAATATAATGCGCTTGCGCGACGCATTGCAAGGTCGAGCAAGAGAAACGGTAGTGTCGCTCTTGGGAAACTCTTCCAATGTTACTACGATCATCGAGATATTGCGCGAAGCCTTTGGAAGACCAGAGCAATTGATTAAAAGCCAAATCGAGAAAGTTCGATCCATCCCGCCGTTAGTAGACGGCCACCTCGAGTCGCTCGTCAACTTCGCCAACAAGATGACAAACATGGCGACGTTTTTGCAAAACGTGGATGGTTTTCATCACTTGTCTAACCCAACACTAATAAGCGAATTAGTAGCAAAACTACCAACAGCACGACAAATGATGTGGGCAGAAAAGTGTTTGCAATTGGAGCGACCTCCAACAATTGTAGACTTCAGCAACTGGCTATGCACACTACGTCGTCTGGCTAACATGGTAACTGACACACTGCCACATAATCCTGTAGTGCGCAGACAACAGCAAATCAGAAATAATGACTCACCTAATAACCGCCGCTACGCATGCGCCAGTGTTGTGCAAGAAAATTGTCTCAATTGCAAAGGCAATTGCAAAACCTTGAGTAATTGCCAATCTTTTTTGCAGATGACCAGTGAGGATCGGTGGAAAAAATTGAAAGCCTTAAAACTCTGTTTCTCGTGGCTCAAAAAAGGTCATCGCGTGCAGCAATGCCTTTCCCGTAAGCATTGTAGAACAAACGAGTGTCAAAGAGTACACCATCAATTGCTCCACGCAGATTTTGCTGATGCGTCTTCCGGACGACGCGAATCAAGGGTGAACCCATCACCCGTCTCAATTGTGGCAGATCCGACTACACCGCAACAGACCGAACACCGAAATTGCCTTGCCGACTGCAGCTCCGATAAAGTGCTCTTTCAAATTTTGCCAGTCAAATTGTATGGGCGAGATAATGTTATATCCACGTACGCATTCGTCGATGATGGAGCAAATGTATCGATGATTGACCGCGATCTTGCCTTAAAACTTGGAATTCGTGGCAAAGCAGAAATATTGGAGCTGCAGTGGTTGAACGAACAAAGAAATACGCAAAAAACGGAGCGAGTGAAATCGACTCCGAAAAGTACGAGTTGTCAAACGTTTTCACATCGACAAATTTATCATTACCAATTGAGAGTTGCCATATTGGTGAGTTAACTAAATCGGGTAAGAATTCACATCTTTTGGGTGTACAAATTCCAAACTACACAAATGTTAAGCCAGAGGTAATTTTAAGTCTTAATCGTGCTTTCCTGACGGTGCCAATGGAAACTCCACTGCAGCCTTGTGAAGCCGGACCAATCGCAGCCAAAACAAGGTTAGGATGGATGATTTACGGTTCAACTAATGAAATGCCGTCATCGCATTCATTTCGCGCACTGCATTATAGAACGTTTCCCGAGAGCGAAGACCCCACATACAAACTACATGCGATGATGCAAAGTTACTTCGACGTAGAGTCCTTTGGCATCAAGGCAGATGCTAAGAAATTGATACCCAAAGCTGATGAGTGCGCACTGTCTATTTTGGAAGCAAAAACGAAACGAGTTGGCGGTCGTTATGAGACTGGCCTTTTGTGGCGGGAGGACGTGCCCCCATTTCCTAATAGTTACCATATGGCTCTAAATCGATTAAAGAATGTTGAGAGGAAAATGTCCAAGGACGAAGTCTTCGCCACCGAGTATCGCGCCAAAATCAGTGACTATTTGAAAAAAGGCTATCCGAGGAAATTATCATCTGCCGAAGCTTCGCAAGTAACTAATAAAACCTTTTATTTACCACATTTTGGGGTTAGGAATCCAAATAAAAAGGGAATACGCCTCGTTTTCGACGCAGCAGCAGAAGTTCAAAATATGTCATTGAACAAAGCTCTGCTCTCAGGACCAGATATCAACAACTCATTAATTTCTATACTATTAACATTTAGGCAAGCTCCAATCGCAGTCTGCGGAGACATTAAGGAGATGTTCCACCAAATTATAATTACCGCAGAAGACAGGGACAGTCAGCGATTTCTCTGGAGGGACGGATATCCATCTAAACAGGTGGAAACCTTTAGGATGGAGCGAATGATCTTTGGGTCTATATGTTCGCCTACAATACGTCAAAAATGTCAACGCGAAGAACTTTGTTACAGAATGTCCTCGCGCCGTGCACGCCATTATCGAAAGACACTACGTGGATGACTACGTTGATTGTTTCCAATCGGAACAAGAAGCTCTTATCGTGGTGCCGCAAGTTATTCACATTCATCGCAAAGGGGAATTCGAGCTGCGCAATATCATCTCTAACTCCGAAAAATTAAAAGTAGCATGTGGCATCGCCGCCAGCAACGACTGCAAGGTATGCATTGACAGAGAGACAGAGAGAATATTAGGAATGCACTGGCTGTCAAAAACTGATGTTTTTATTTACATTTTGAAATTAAATAAAGTGCCAGAGGAAATAATTATGTGTGCTAGAAAACCGACTAAAAGAGAGATGCTAAGCCTAAATATGTCGATTTTCGACCCGTTGATTTCCTGTGCAATTTTATGATTAGCTCAAAAGTGTTGATGCAGGAGGTGTGGAAAGCTGGCGTGGAATGGGACCACCCGCTACCTGATCGACTTTATTTGAAGTGGAAGATGTGGATGCACGAGTTGCCAAAGTTGGAGCAATTCCAGATTCAGCGTTGTTATCTGCATAACTTTGAAAGCATCCCCGTGGATTTGCATATTTTCTCGGATGCAAGTGAAGAGGCGATGTTGCTTACTGGCGAATGGTAAATGATGGTAAGGTCACACTCAGCTTTGTTATGGCGAAATCAAGTTGCACTCCTACGCGCTATCATACCGTTCCGAAGCTTGAGCTGCAAGCTGCGGTCATGGCATCGCGGTTAAAAGAAACCATTTTACAAATTCATAGCAAAGTGATCAATAGTTTTTATTTTTGGACCGATTCGCACACGGTTATACGATGGATAAGAGCGGATCATCGACGATACAAGCAGTATGTAGGCAACAGAGTGGCAGAAATTTTGGAGAACAGCAACATTGCAGACTGGCGATGGTGTCCGGGTACTCTGAACCCAGCCGATGAAGCAACTCGCGCAAGGTTCCCAGCGAAATATATGGTAGACGGACGATGGAAAAATGGTCCAGATTTTTTACTAGAAGATGAAAGTTCATGGCCCAATGAATCATTAATAGTCAACGTTAAGGATAGCAGCGGGGAAGAGCTACGCAGCAAGCACACAATGTTGATCGCGCGGCAGGTTTGTAGCATAATCCCGAATTGTAATCGATTTTCAAATTATTCAAGGCTAAAGCGGACTGTGGCTTGGATATATCGTTTTGTTCATAACTTACTGAGAAGCACTCAAAACAAACCGTTGCTAAATGGTGAGCTGACCACTGATGAAGAGCGCCAGGCGGAAATACGTCTCTGCAGATTTTTGCAAGAAGATGCATTTGCAGATGAACTTGCTGACATAAGGCAAAAGGAAACAGTTTCGGCAAGCAGTACGGTAAAGATGCTGAGTCCTTTCATCGGCCCGGATGGTCTGCTGCGAGTAGGCGGAAGGATTACCGGGGCTACGTGCCTATCAATCGAAGCCAGACAACCAATACTGTTGCCGACTACGCATCGGGCCACGCGCTTGCTTGCGGAAAATGATCATGCAAAATTCCTGCACATCAACGTTGCAACAGTGATGAGTGAAATCCGGCAAAGGTTTTGGATTCCTGCGCTCCGAAGACTATTAAATAGTATACAGTCACGATGCCAAGCGTATCGCTTTAGACGTGCCAAGCCTCAACAGCCGCAGATGGGCAATTTACCAGCGGATCTGTTAACACCTTACATCAGGCCCTTTTCTTATACCGGACTAGATTTCTTCGGGCCAATTAACGTCACCATTCGACGGCAACGAGAGAAGAGGTGGGTCGCACTATTTACTTGCCTCACTGTGCGTGCTATCCATCTCGAAGTGGCGACTGACCTATCGAGCGATGCGTGCCTGGTATGCCTAAGGAACTTCATGAATAGAAGAGGAGTGCCCGTGTTGATAAGGAGTGACAATGGCACCAACTGTGTGGGCATTGAGAAAGAGCTTAAGGGTGAGTGTTCGTTTTTGGACAATTCTTCTTGGATTTCAGGCTTGACCTCGTTGGGCATCCGTTGGAATTTTAATACGCCAGCAAATCCAAGCGAAGGTGGTGCATGGGAAAGGCTGGTCCAATCCGTGAAGACAGCGCTACGGATGATGTTGCGCGAACAATCACCACGCCTCGAAACGTTGCAGAGTTTTCTAATTGAGGCTGAGAACATGATCAACGCCAGGCCCTTGACACACCTACCTGTAACACCAGAGGAACCGGAGCCACTGACTCCTAACCACTTTTTGCTTGGATGTCCCAACTCGACGCAGACGCCTGCTCCTTTCGAGCCACGTCTGATGTGTCTACGCAAGCAGTGGCGAGTGGTCCAGAATCTCAAGAATGGCATGTGGCAACGGTGGATACGGGAATATTTGCCCGACTTAACACGACGGACAAAATGGTGTTTGCCAGTAAAGCCACTCCAGCCAGGGTGCCTGGTTTTAATCTGTGAAGCTGAAACTCCAAGGTCCCAGTAGAAGAGAGGAAGAGTCTTGGAACTACACTACGGCCAAGACGGCGTTGCTCGGTCCGCTCACATCGCTACAAGCAGCGGTACTTATCGTAGGCCTGTTTCGAAATTGGCAGTTCTTGATGTCGAGGCGAATGCAGACGGTGGTGAAGCCTCCCCAACCGGGTCAGTTCACGGGGGTGGGGATGTCGATGATGGCAACCCAAGAAATGTTGCTGAACAAAAGTAGCGGAATTTATGTATGTCTTTGTAAGAGCGTATTCATGTATTTCAAAACAGTTGTTTTAGATAACTTAGGTACTTATGGTTGTAGAAGATATAAATGCGGGTGCCTCCGAAAATTTCTTTCTTCTTTACATTGTTCACGGAGCGAAACCAGTGTGAGTAGAAATTGTAATTTTTTAAGTCTAATTTGTATTTAATATGCTGCTAATTTACTAGAGAATAAACCACTCAACCAACTATGTAACTGACAGCTAATTGTAAACCTTCGTCAAGCAACTACATTATTTCAAATAAAAATAACTTACAAATATTGAAATTGGAGCTTAGTGACATTCATTTGCAGCCGTGCCATCTTCTAGTTGGTTCCAAGTTTATTCACATATCCGTGGTAAAGAACATCTTTATTCTACTGGCTGGCAATCTCGCAATTGCCGCCAAAATTAAACGTCACTGCTGATATTTCCCGCCATTTTCGTTACTATTGCGTTTTTTCGTCGTGTTTTATGTCACTAAGTCCAATTACA